ATTATCTTGATCGAATGATAGGTCAATACGTAAAAAAACGTTAACTTAGTGGTCACCCAAAAATTATTTGACCAGTCGCACTATTAAGGCAACCATGACATTGAAGAAAAATTGAACAGTTGCAATATCATGAGTTCAGTCACTAAAATACAGAACAAAACAAATTTATCAAGACCTCAAAAAGCTCTTGAAATTATCTCACACTTTATCAGTGTTAAGCTGATATATAACGCAGTTTCAACTGAGTGTGGTACACTCAAAATGACTTTCATCCAATCAAAAACGCCGCAGCCAATCAGATTTGCCAATCACAACTCAATCGATGAAGTAGCTAATGCCAAGCGCGGGAAAAGCGCGCGATTACCTTCGGTTTTCCCTCTTATTGGGTGAGCAAGTCGCACGAGATTGTTTTTCAACGCAAAACAAAGTAATGGGGGAATTGTTTTCGGTGCTTATTGAAAGTGCTCTGTTTTCAACAGTCACAAATTCCCACGTTTGTTCAAACCACGACACAAAGACTTTTCAGTTCGTGCATGCTTGGTGCAAAATCCTCGACATCTGCGGTCCATGGAGGGGTGGTGCGTCCACAAAGAAACCAAATTTATAACCAAATCAACTTTCTCCTCGAAACAGTTCTGCTTCTCTTCCAAACTCGAGAAATACTCGCGGCATTGCTCTCTAAGCTCTCACTGCTGGGTGTTAGGTTCTCTTACCTCCTCATCTTGTTTCTCCAAAGCGCTCTGCAAGTTCTGTATGTACTGAGCGCGGTAATTAGCATCTCCTGTTATTGCTTCGTCGTCGAATAAAATCTCAAATTTCAGAAATTCCTCTTATTCCTTCGAGTATTATTTTCTTTTCACAGTAACTATACGTAATAAAGTTAAACTTATGACATGTGGTAGAGTTTGAACTGATGCTTACCCGGAAAATTTGACGAATGTAGGAACGTGGTAAAAATGTGACAAACCTTACTGTAGCCTTGATGAGATCATTAAGTCACATTATTATACACGAAAAAATAAAACCCGAACATTCCTTTGGCGGTCTTTAAAAGTCCTCGCTATCCAAGCCCCCTTATTACGCAAATCAAATTGGATGACGTTGTTACTATTTAGTAGCTGTACAATATCGCTTAATAACTTGAGGAAGAAAAAGTTATTGTATTAGTTTTCATAAATCGGTCAAGTAATCGGAATTTGGCACGCTTTTTAAAGACTAGTTACAGCGGAAGAAAAGAGCTTCGGAACGGGCGTATTAAAGCCTTCCGGGCCTCAACCAAGGCGAAGAGATTCATGATATGCCTCAGGAAAAAAATATTGGTGAGCTGCCTTTGCCAGTGTTAAAAATAAAATCAGATGACGCAAATTACTCAATATTTAAAACAATGCTTTAAAACAATTCTGCTTTAAAATACTATTTACATGTTAAACTTAGTTCCTAGTTGAAGTTCCAAACGGTAGCGGTTATCTTGAAGATAGGCAGACACCCTCCTTAATATGGACAACAAAAGAGGCCTACATTCTGCTTTGAACACCTAGTAAATATTCTTGAATTTTTTTTCTGGCATTAATATGTTGGTTTCGAATTTCTTACACTTAGGATAACTTTAAACCCTAAATTTGACTTTTCAGAATATAAAACGGGGAATTTTGAGGTTGCCCATAAATGAAGAATGTTGTCCACTTTGAATATAAACAAAACTAACTTAAAAGTAACATGATGTCACAGAATTACTGATCACAGTGCAATATTCGCTGACGCGATCATATTTGAACGACACCCGCCTTTGGCAAAGGAACTTAAAAAGGTTTGCCAGGACTACCTTATGAAGTTTAGAGAAGTATTTGAAGACTTCAGCATCGTTTTTTTAACGTAAGCATAGAAACTGTATGTCTGAGTTGAGATGAGTGTGATATTTAGAGTCCATAATTAAATCCTATGCTTTCTCTTTCCATCTCTTAATGTGATGTTAAACGGGAAGATTCGCAAGGACGACTTTTAGCGCAACACAGCGTTGCAGCATTGTTGCGACATTGTTGCGAATGGCTACAACATTGCTCCAGCATTGCATTAACGCTGTTGCGCTAAAAATCGTCCCGTGTGACATCACCTTAAACTGACAGGACAGGGTTTGTTAGTAAAGCATCGCGCTGCCCTTCCTGCTTGTTTTCAAATGTGTTTCATGAAGAAGAGCAAAGTGTTGCAAATTTGCGGAGAAAGGCTCAAAGTCGTCAAGAATTTTCCAAAGTTTTCGTGATGTGTTAAGACTAAGGTTTTCTACACACAATGATTCAAATTCTTCTTAAATTATAGCACCATAGTCAGATGTTCGATCAACTCGGTCATGCCAAAGATTCAGAATTGATTGTTCTTTTTATTCCTTTCTTTAGCTGATCAAGTAACTCTACCCGGCATGCCTTTCCAGGCACAAATTAACCGCATGAACGAGGACTTTCGAGAACAAAACGAAAAACTGAAGCAGTTAAAGGAATTGGACCTTTTCGTTTTAGACAATTCCCTTCGAGAAAGCACTGTGGGACAACTTCGAGGCCATACCATCGAAAACAAATGGAAAATATACAATGAGGTGAGCCAGTCTTATATCTGACTGTTTCACATGATTACTCTTTAGTGAATACAATTTGTAAATTGAAGGAGTTCTGTTCCTTTTCTCAGTGCTCTTGCTCCTCCGTTTCCTCAATCTGCCTCTTCCTCCTCATCCTTTTGCCTCTCCCTATTTAAACTTTCCTTTTTGTCTCCCGTTCTCCTTTTCTGTCACTTATCTAGTCTTCTTTCCCTCATCAAACCCCTTTTTCCTTTCTCCTTGTTCTACTCCACCTCCTTATGCTCTCCTTCTCATTCTACCACCTCTCAATAGCCGCTCATCTACTACGGAGGCTAATCACCATTGAATAAGCAGTTTGTTGCCTAGTCGCCCTGGCAATATTTCTCAGCATCAGTCAAATCAGTAATCAAATTCATGATACCTTGAAACTGACATAATCATAACATACACACACTAGTCTAGGAAGTAGATTGTGATTTTGTTTTCTCAAGAGTGATTTGCATATTTCTCTGAATAAAGGTAAATTGCAAGCTTGGTGGATGTTATGAAATTCTTCTTCTACACTAAACTATTCTTGCAATTCTCCCAAAAATCATTAATCATTTTTCATAAAGGATGGCTGGTTTGAAAATGTACAGGGCTTAACTGTATAATCAAACTTATCATTTAATTTAATGCCTGTAATTCTTATCCTGCTGATTTTACACCTGCATAAAGGGAATCGCATGTATGACTGCAATTTTGTCGGTCAGTGTAAAACGTAGACTGCGGACTGCGGACTGCAGACTGCGGACCAGGGGTAAAAGCAGACTGAGTNATGCCTTTCCAGGCACAAATTAACCGCATGAACGAGGACTTTCGAGAACAAAACGAAAAACTGAAGCAGTTAAAGGAATTGGACCTTTTCGTTTTAGACAATTCCCTTCGAGAAAGCACTGTGGGACAACTTCGAGGCCATACCATCGAAAACAAATGGAAAATATACAATGAGGTGAGCCAGTCTTATATCTGACTGTTTCACATGATTACTCTTTAGTGAATACAATTTGTAAATTGAAGGAGTTCTGTTCCTTTTCTCAGTGCTCTTGCTCCTCCGTTTCCTCAATCTGCCTCTTCCTCCTCATCCTTTTGCCTCTCCCTATTTAAACTTTCCTTTTTGTCTCCCGTTCTCCTTTTCTGTCACTTATCTAGTCTTCTTTCCCTCATCAAACCCCTTTTTCCTTTCTCCTTGTTCTACTCCACCTCCTTATGCTCTCCTTCTCATTCTACCACCTCTCAATAGCCGCTCATCTACTACGGAGGCTAATCACCATTGAATAA